TCAGTGAGATATCACTAGACAGTAAATAGAAATTAGAAGCAGAGCAAAAACTTAAAGAGGGAATTGTTTCCATGACAGCAACTTTATCCATTTTAATTACTCAAGTTTGTTTGTCTTACTTTAATAAAATGCAGACTCTATGGCTCTTGCGATTATCTAAGGTTCTGGCGATTAGTCTGCTTTCTATTCAGATATTTTATGAAGGAGCAGAATTTCTATTAGTCTCACATAACACACATATTCTTCTTAGAAGAATAATATAGGGAAATTCTATTTAGACAGTGGAGAAAAAAAAGCTACTCTTAGTCCACTGTTACTCAGCTCCTGTTAAGTATGTGCCTTTCCATGCCATCCCATACACACTGGCATACCTCTAGGGATGCTCATAACTGTAGCCTCTGCTGCAGAAAACCTTGTTTTTTCCCAGTTTTCTTTAACATATGGAATACGAACATCACATAATATTTCTGCAGTAGATGCTGTTACTTCTGAAGCAATCATAAGAATTGTTACTAAAATTGTCTCTCAGAGCTTCAAGAATAGGCTATAAACCAATTCTGAACAGTGATTTCCATGCATTTGATGTTATACCAGTCAAGATAGCCTTAAAAATTACTCAGTATTTGGTGCTGGAACTGTATTGCCCACAGTCTTCCATAGAAGACTGCTTCAACCCCTTCCACTGAAAAGTTAAAACGTTGTTAGTGTACCTGAAAGCATGGAAGTCCTTCAGCCTTACTGAAAATATCTGATGAGTGAATGTTGTAGCTAACAATTTCTATGCGCTGTTTCACTTGGCAGGATCACAGAATGGTTGAGGTTAAAAGGGACCTCTAGAGGTCATCTCGCTCAGCCTGCTGGTTCAAGAGTCACTCCAGATAGTTTTCACTGTCTCAAAGCTGGGAGACTCCACAGCCTCTCTAGGCAACCCGTGCCAGTACTCCATCAACATAGAATTCCACCTGCTGTTTGTTCAGAGGGAACCGCCTGTGCTTCCAGTTTGTGCTCATTGCATCCTGGCCTGCACTGGGCACAGTCTGACTCTGTCCACTGTTAGACTTCCTTCAGGTATTTATGGACACAGATGAGCTCCTCCTGAGCCTCCCCTTCTCCAGGCTCAGGAGAAATACTTAAGTAAAAGGTTAGGCCTGCTCTAGTATTAGATGTGGAGGTTGGTGGCCCTGCATGTGGCAGGGGGGTTGGAGATTCGTGATCCTTGAGGTCCCTTCCAACCCTGTGATTCTGTGAAAAGGATAGTGTTGGTGGGGAAAAAGCAATTAAAAGTTACTGTGTTTCAACTAAGTATCATCTGTGCAATCACATGAAATGATGATATCCATTCTGGGGCTTGGTAATAAGAAAGTATTTTCCTGCTTTTCTGCTTAAGAGGTTTGTTGTTTTTTTTTTTAATTGAAAATACTTACAAGAACTTCCAAGATTTGCCAATCCGAAGAGCTGTATAAAGGGATGCAGAACCTAGCTAAGGAAGTGATAACTTCAGTGAGATTATTCTAGCCTCTAAAACATTATTCTATTCTCTAAAACAGGCTCAGGTTTTTTTAGGACAGAAACCAAAAGGAATCTTAGTGCAGCAGAAATCACAAGCAGATTTTTGTCATAGTACGTTACTCTGCTGCAAAATACAGTAATTTTTAGATAAAGCACTGATTAAACAGTAAGTTAACAAAATGTCACTGCCTTGTTATGTAGGTTTTTGGGGTTTTGTTTGTTTTTTTTTATTATTTTTTTTTTTTACCCATTGCATGCTTCTGTGCTCACAGTGTTTAACATCTCTGAAGAGCACTCTGTACATAAAGCTTAGTCATGTGTGAGTCCTGTTGGAACAAAGCTACTAAACAGAAATTAGACATCACATCCCTTGAGGATTTGGAATAAAATTTTCAAATGACTCTAATGTGATTGTTCTTTTCTGGAAATTTCAATGTCTATCTGTGCCAGAATTATATGGGTTGGAAGGGACCTGTGTAGGTCTTTTTCTCCAGCCCCAGAAATAAGCCATCATCTCTCCTATAGAACACATTATTAAGGTATTGCTTTTCATTGTACCTTCTTCAGGTGGACCACAGTGCAGTCAGGCAGCCCAAAGTCCTGGGGGGGCAAAAAGAGAACTGTCTCAGGAAATAGCACATCAAAGAGCATTTTATTTAGGTATTCTTAAGTGTAATTGTTTGCATCCATGTTTCTTTTTTCCCTTTCTGCCCAGCAGTGCCATCTTTGCTTAACTTATGCCTAAGCATAGGTTATTTCAGATAGGTCCTTTTCCAGTCATGGCAGACATTATGCACCAAACTGAATGTCTTCTGAATTTGCACAAGAGCCTTTATGGCATGCAGCATCTTAGCCTCCAAACCAAAAAATTAAGGTACGTTTTATTTAAAAAAAAAACAACTCTCAAACAGGAGAGTAGAAAACTCCAGCAGCTGGCATTTGTTGTGGTCGGGAAATGGAAAGTGGTAAGAGGAGGAAGCGATGTAGCATCGCTGCTAAAATTAAGAATAGGAGAATATTCAGATGAAATGTTTTAATTATTCTAGATTGCTGCTGAGTATTGCTAGTGAATATTGATAAAAAGCAAGTTGATGGATGGGGTGGGTTTTTGTTCAGAGTGAAGGTTAGTCTTGGTGAAAACTGTCTATGTATAAACGAGAAACTGAATAATGCTTTGAGAATCTCCCTCAAAGAAATAACAACAAATTTTTTCAATATTAACAAGCATGAAAATAACTTAGCAGTCTGTTAGTGCAACTAGCTATGAAGTAATGTGAAAACCTATTCTTTAGATATTAGAGAAGGAGTAAAATAAGAAAAAAAAATGCTGATTAAAAAAATAGAGCAATGTTGGGACAAGGTGCCTTCGAGAATCTTACATAGTTTCTATACGTTGTACCTTCATTGTCTTATCAGACTCTAAATAGGCAATTAATGATTATTGAGAAAGTTCATTTAACAAAGCAGAAGACTCAAGTACAGGATTAGTACTGCCTTTTTATATTTAGATTTATTAAAAGATAATCTTGCTACAATAATAAGTACTAAACAAAAGAAACTGCTATTTGAATGCCATCTGTTCGGATTTACTAATGTATGCAAAGCTGATTTGTTTTCTGTGAGAAGTTTGCCCTCTAAACCAACCCTGTTAAGCTTTAATTTATTACAAACTTATGCATTCAGATAGTTACCATAAACCTAATCTGGAGTAATGAGAGCTTACACATTTAGTGTAATTCTAACAGTTCTGCTTTTCAGTTTAAAGAAGCTGTTATTCTATACTCAGAGATGTTAAACTCTGAATATAGAATAAAAAAAAAAATCAGTTTTGTGAATTCAGGCAAAAAGTCAGAAACAGGTGTTTTGTTTTGTTTTTTACATCCTCAGTGATCCATGGTGTTCTGTACAGAGAACCAAGCGAACAAATCTCTATGATGAACTCTGTTCTGAAATATTTTTTGTAAAATCTGATTAATATTTGTGACAGTAATTTAAGTTCTGCGGTAGATTTTCAGACGTATGCTCAGCTGTAGAAAACCTTGTTTTTGAATGATCAGTTCTTCAATTTATCACTGATGTGCAAAAGTTTACTTTTAGAAATACTCTTTTTTCTCACACCCAAGAATATTTATCTGTGTACAGAGAAGCATCCAAAATGTTTGCTATTCTTCAAATAATGTGTTCAAACATGGTACTTGTAAGACACTTTAGAATTGAAGAAGCCATGGAATATTTTTCCAGCAGCAGCTTCCCTTTTATTCTTGAGCAAAGTGCATAGAGTCAACAGAAGAGTTTTTTGCAAGAGCGTGGACATATGTCTCTAAAAGATGAACAAAGATAAGTTTGAGTGTTCAGGTTCCCATTCCCCATCACTGCAGAAATGGAGTTTCTTTCATTGCCGATATTTCCCAGAGGATATGATATCAATGGGTGCTTTCTCATCTAAGGGGGGTGTTGGTAAATTGGGCTGTTCACTAGAGCCATCTTTGAGTACTCTTGAGTTTTGTCAGTGCTTTCACAAGCACCAAGCTCATGACTCTATCCTGAGTTTGCAGTAGAAGAAAGGGACTAGTAAATAAGTTCATACCCACATGATAATGATAATGGTGGGAGTAAAGTGGGTTCTGTTGGTCTCAGCCCAGTGCCCAGTCTGGCAGTGCTCTTCTACCATCACTCAGTTGTCACTTCTACTTAACAGCTGTGCTCACTGGTTGACCAGTCCACTTCACCTGTCCGTGATTTTGTGAAGTAAATGCATGTCAGACATTCATGTCTTGTTCATGTGCACAAGAGAATATGTTTGCCCTGTCAATGCTGTAAACCAGTTTATTTTAAAACAAGATGTTCAGGTGAGTTAGGATGACCAGCCAGATATTGGGGCGACATGAACTATAAATAGATTTATGAAGTCATTTTCATAATCAGATTTCATATCAATGCCACTTGCCTTCAGGCTTAGAAAGAAAAGACCAAAAAAACAGATTATGTCCTTCTGTGCTTAGCATCCACAAAGTCTGCAAGTTCTGCTGATACTGTTTTCAAGAAGGGTAAATTGTGTCACTAGTCTGCTGCTCATCTTTTAATGCAAGCTTTTGAAAACCTGAACCTTCTTAATGCTGCAGAACAGTATAGTTTGGAGGTTGAAGCTAGTCAATCAGATTACAGATGGATTTCTGCCTAGTGAATGATAAGCAGTGGCTCAGTATAAGATTTCGACTTTTTTTTTTCTAATTTATTTGGTAACTCTTATTTAAAAATTGATTACATATCAGCAAGGAATAAGGATTATGTTTTACAGTAATACGCCTCGTCCTTTATGATCACAACTGCAATTAGTCTCGTTACAAATCAAATTCATTACAATAAGCAAATACAGAAAAGAGCTTTTATTTTTGGTATTGGCTTAGCATCTGTAATGGGAATTTTTTAAGCATCATATCCCTTTCAGAAAAGTTAACTGTGATTTTTTATTTTTTTTTTTCCCTCTAAAGCCACAGAAGAAAGAGGATCAGCAATTAGAAGCCAAAGGAAGTCCAAAAAAGTCATCAGAACCCACTATTGACCTCTTAGGGCTTGGTAAGCAATAAATAATTACCTGTTTTTCTATGCAACGTGTACACATCATTTTAAATTTTAATAAATATGTTTTCATTTTCTCTGTGCTTACTGACATTGTTAGCTGAATTTGAAAACCATGACACTGAGTCTGAATTTAAAACTACAAAGGAAAATGCCATGGGGATCTGTGTATATCAATACTCGCGTTTTGCTAGGGAGAGTAATGAGCTCCTGTGGGAAGGGGAAGTTATCAAAGTGATCTTCAAAGAGCTTGTGGATTGTGATATTTCAATGTTTATGGTACTGGCATATTTTTTAGTTGAAATGCAGAGGTAATCTGAATTGTATTTCTCTAAAATGCCTTATATGATAAAATCTCTATTTTAGTTAAAAGAACAACGAATTGACTGACTGTAGCTGACCAATATCTTGTAAAACGTAAACACTGAGTATTGCAGTCTTGTGAACTGACTGTGGCAGTCATTCAGTTTTACCTTCTGCACATTTTGTTTTCTTCTCTAGCAGGTAACCATCTACTTGTTGTGTAAATAAACTGTTTTGGACTCTAATCATTTCATTTGCACCATCTGCCCATACAGTAGTGTTTTTATACTACTTCTTTGCTTGTTGAAGGTTATGATTATACGAATGTGTTTGCCCATTGGATAGAAACAGAAGATAGGAAAACAAAATATTGCAATAACTATTTTTAATCTCTCTTTTATTATGTAACGTTAGGAAGTTTCTCTACATATCGGGAGTGGATATTAGAATGCTTATTGATACACTGGTTACTCTAGATTTTGCCATAGTATTGACAGTTCATTGAAGGAGGCAGATAAGTCTTTTAAATGTGCTTTTTTAGCCTGTAGTACCAATTGGAATTTGTATGAAAATGATTTGTTTTGTTTTCATTTTCAGATAATAATGTTGCAGCAAGGCAAATAGTATTGTCCCTGTTTTAGAATTCATGCTGTCAGTCAGAATGCAATTTATTTTCCCTCTGTATGCAGAATGGCTGTAAAATATTGTTTTTGTACCGACTCCGTTTGTGTCACAGTCCGTATCTCATCTCAAGTAGTATGTTACCATAGGCAAGCAAAACTTAATTAAACAGGAAAAGTTAGATCATGGATATAGAATGAACCTGTTAAAAAGAAAAGTAACTCAAGCTTCATGGAAGGCCAGTCCTTTTTTTATTTTCCTTCACCAGACCGACATCCTAACTAAGAATTCAGATTTAATCAGTGTGTGGTTCTGAAATTGTCAGACTTCTGTAGTTTGTTAGTTATGGGTTGAAAAAAATCTTGGTAATACCATTTTATGCTATGATAATGAGCTCTGATTATGTAAAAATATAATGTACAATAGAAAGAGTATTATAATTGTGTTCAACGTTTCTTCAGTGGTTCTTCAGTGTAAATAAACACGGTGGGATATACAAAGGACAAAGTTTATAATTGTAGCAAAAAATGATGCTAGAGGAGGGAGTGTTAAGAACTTCAAATAAATTGAAAGGCAGTGTAATGAGCTAGCATCACTTGGAATCCACTGAGCTGCAAACGAGATGGATTAATGAGAGCAGACCTGCATAATTCATTTGGAGTTATCTTGTAATTAATTCTCGCAGTAGGCTGCTTGTTATTACTTTGTTGATTCAGATAGTATTAAAAGCAAGATCTCTTCAGTGCAATATATATGCCATATCAAACAATTTTAGAATGGATATGATGGTGTGGCTCATTCTTCTTACTGAGTGGACATATTTCTAATGACAGTAATTCATTCTCAGGACTTCATTCCTGCAAATTGAGAACAACGGTAGTTTTTACGAGGGTGGATCAGAGTCATTTGTAATAGCAAATTAGGTAATTTTAATGGATTGCAATTCATGCTGGAAGAATTCTTGCTTTTTAAACAGCCCAGCCTCTTGTTTTCCTTAGAATACATCTGTGCTAGCTTTGAGTATGAAGTTAACTTTCTTGGGTTATGAAGTTAACATAACACTTTGTGTGTATGTGTCTCTGCTGGGATTTAATATTGACCTCATCAGAAGGTAAACGAACTGTGAAACAAGACTTACCCTTAAAAAACAAGTAGCACTTATAACTGGACTCAATAATTTTCTGAAAATAAATTGTTTTTTATTTTTTTCTACTAAATTGCAACATCTTCAAAGTAGTTTGTTTAACAAATTGCATCTTCAAAACTTGTAATAGTAGCAGAGGCATGATGTCACTGGTGACTGTGCTGCCATGTTAGAGTTTCTGCTAGCCTTTGAAAATTGATTCATATAGATCCTTTGGGTTCCTTTTCAGAGTGGTTGTTACTGAGATTGTATTTGGAAATTCATTTTTTTGATGGTCAAGCTATGTAGACATTTGTGCATTTTGCTTTTTGTTTCAGAGTACCTTTTAGTTCAGTAATGCACAGATGCAGAAATTTGGGAAACAATGTGCACGAGCTGAATATTCTTTTGTTCTCCACAAACAATGGTGTTACTTAATGTTCATACTGTGAAGCCCCAAATTTTTTCCCTCACTTCCCAAGTCATGAGAAATCACAGTTTATTTCTGTAGGCTAAATCTGACACTACTGTTTTTTAATGATCTCTACAATTAGTTGGATCTTCCCCACACTGAAAGAGTGCACTGCAGAGAATGTGAGGATGTTAATGCAAAAATTGGTAACATGGGATTTTATAACATTAATTTTTAATAGGGATGTTATAGGAAACTTTTTTCTGTTTGAAAGCCACAGCATGTGAGCCAAAGTTCTTTGGCATTTAAGGCATTGTCAAGACTCTCTCCGTCTCGGCAGTGTTAATCCTGCTGATCCTCTGTGCTGCTCGGCAGCTTGGGGTTTTCTCTTACAAGTTATGTGATTCCACTTATGTCAGACTGGTGAAGGAAAGATAGCTTTAAAAAACATTTGTAAAAAAGAAATCGTGTTTGTGTAGGATAGTAGGAATTATATAGCACTGCTGATATATTAAGATTGTGCTTAGGTAGGTATACAGTGTATCCACCCCACATGAAAATACGCACAACCCCTTGGTGCATGTAGCTTTGCTAACTTTCTGGTTCCCCAGATTTTATTTTGAGAAATTCTGTACAGAAAAGAGCTTCCAGTGAATAGTTCTACAAAGATTTTGACAGTAAATAAAATTTTAGTAATGCAATAAATAATTATTCCATTATTCCATCATTTGTTTGTATCTCTGTCACAGATTTTGTTTAAAGTCTTCAACTGTTTTTCTTAGTTCTGTCTTTTTAGCAATTTGGTGCAGTAAATAATCAGATACATATTCAAAATATCTCTTCTACTGCAAGTTTTAGTGTGACTGTCATGTATAAAAACACAGCTTAGATGCTAAGTCTTGTAAATAGTTTGCTCCTTTATAATTAGTTTCAGAAATGTAATGCAAGGAATAGGTCTTTCTTACTGCTTCTCTTTCTTGCCATGCCTTTACATCTGCTATATTGGTCACTCACCACTGGTGCAGAGGAATGTACCACGTATTAATGCTGTGTATTAAAGTTTTCATAACAAAAGGAAGCACTGAATCAGAAATTGTATTGTCAGAAATAAATAAAATATACACTACAGAAAAGCTATAATGGTAAACATCACTAGAATCACTTACTATGCATATCCTGGCAAATAGCTTTTGTTTCTGCTAACAAATTTAAACAGGACTTCCTGTTGTGAAAGCATGAGCAATATCTGCTGTTGCAACTTCTATCTGCCATACTATGCATATTTACCTGTCATGTCACTGTAAGGGTAAAAAGTAAGGATTTAGGTCTTCTGGAGATGGGAAGAGCAACAAAAACCAGCACCTGATGACTTTCCTCATGACCTTCTCCACCTTAGTGTGACACTTCTACCTGTGATATGCTCATGTTGCAGGGGTTGTGCTGCATCTTGTCCTTCATCCTTAGCTATTGGTGTATTCTCTACAAAGGTGATGGCAGTTCATTAGAAATAGTTCATTAGAAATAGTTTCAGAGTAACTGTGATCATCTCCCTAACATATACGTTGGTTAGAGCTATGCATTTCTCAAAATGTATGTATAACTTGATCTGTTTTTGACTAATTCCTGGAAAGACTGCAGGCATGTTTCCTTCTCTCTCTTGTCATCAGTTTTTATTGGTAGACAGTAAAAGTTGAATGAAAAGTAACATTTTTAGAATATTAGAATTCAGAACTCATCTGGAGCATCTTTCATAGACTAAAGAAGTATTTTAAAGTTAGGAGAGAAAAGAGGAAACACATTCTAATCAGTGGCTTGACACACTGTAGTTGGGAATATCCATGATCTCTATAAACGTGTAAACGATTAACGGAAACACAAGTTTGTGTATGCCTGCACACTTACATTTTTATAACTGTGCTAATATTTCTACAAGTGATAAACAAGACTGAAAACAGTTTTTTTTCCTACATTCTGAAATTTATCTTGATCTGGAATCTTCCAGTTTCGTGGTGCAAAAAAAATGTTTCAGGATTTGCTAAATATTCCAACTGTTGCATTTTTGAGAAAGGACTAAGACAGGATCTGCTATTAATATTACTTACACAGAGCTAAAACTGTGTTGGAAGGAGTCATTCAGAATATCTCATTTCTGCACTGATGCAGGCAGAAATACTTTTGGTGTAAAATTTAGTAAAAGGTTGAAAACATGTACATTATCAAGTGTTATTCTTACACTTCTAGCTGTTACAACATATAGCTGTTAAAACAGCTTTGGACTGATCTAGCAAAAACCCAGGTTTCATAATATTAATTTATAACTAGCATATTAACTGCTTGAAAAATGCCATTCTCTTATAACGATTGTATTCTACCGTGAGTGTTTTACATATGTGAAATGCTTGTTTTACTAAATTATTATGTGTGTATTTAAAGTCTTAGATGATAAACATTTTTAGATTGAGGGAAACTGAACCACTTTGGAATATAAGACTTTTTCTAATCCATATGACTCCCTGAGAAAATGAAAACATTAAATTATTAATTCCAGACAATCCATTTGCATGAAAATTATGCACTATTCATTCCTAAATTTATCTGAAGCAGCCAACCTTTTGGGAGATGTTTTTGGAACTGCCTGCCTGCAGAATGACCTCAAATGAATAGAGCACTTTGAACTACCAGAAGCTCATTACTTGCTTGACAATACACTTATTTGCATGCATCTTAAAGCGCTGTTGCGGGCAGAATGATGGATCAGATTATACCTACAGTGTCCACTGGCTTCAAGTCATCAGAACAGAAATAGGAGAAGGAGGAGACCTTCATAGCTAAGGTATAAGCAGATATGCCGTAATGGAAGATGACCTTGTTCTTCAGTTCTGTTGGAGATCTCCCAGAAAAGTCAAATGCTGACATAGGAATTAAATGGACTGATGTGGCTTTTTAAATCATAGAATCACAGAATATGCCCAGTTAGAAGGTGCCCATAAGGATCGCTGAGCCCAACTTCAGTTCAATCCCTGTGTCTGAGAGCGCTGCCCAAACGCTCCATGAACTCCGGCAGCTCGGGGCTGTGCCCACTACCATGGGCACCCTGTGCCATGCCCACAGCCATCTGGTGAAGAACATTTTGCTAACCCCCAGCTGCCCCTCCCCTGATGCAGCTCCATGCCATTCCCTCAGGCCCATCGCTGTCAGAGCAGAGCTCAGTGCTGCCCTTCTGCTCCCTGTGAGGAGCTGCAGCTGCCATCAGGCCTCCCCTCAGCTCCTCTGCTCCAGGCTGAGCAAACCCAGGGACCTCAGGCACTCCTCATCCACCTAGCCTTCTAGAACCTTCACCATGTTTGTAACCCTCCTTTGAGCACTCTCTAACAGTTTAATGACGTTCTTATGTTGTGGTGCCCAACGCTGCACATGCTGCTCGAGGTGCGGCTGCACCAGTGCTGAGCAGAGCTGGATAAATTGCTTTAATCCTTCTGTCATTGTTCAGTTCATTGTTTACTTTTAGCATATGAGATCTAGTTATTTGAAGGCGTTCTTTGGCGATTTTGCCTTTGTGGAGTTCCTTGGTTTGTCTTAGTCGTTGCAGACAGCATAATTGTCCTCACAAGCTTTGGGAAACCTGAAACAAGAAACACGTGCTGAGGTTTCATTTCTTGTGAATGCTACATGTGTCTGTCTTTGTATCCTTGCCTTCAAGGTGCTTTGTCACTGGATCTGCATGCCTTTGCTAGCATGCACAATTTGGTCTGCATTTCACATTGATAGGAAGAGGATTTGAGAGTTGGCGAATACCAAGCTACTTGTGATCCTGACTGATGCTAAATCAAATTACAAAATCATTTTGTGTATCTGAAGAAGTCTCTGAAGACTTGCAGACCAGCACCCTTCCACCTGGTTGTTTCTTAATTCCTTGTATGAAAAAGATGCTGTAAAAACCTTCAGGGGTTTTATGTACACCAAAATCAATTCAGAGCTGCAGTTTCTATAGGAACTATAGCTGTGCCTCCTGAGACACATAGGATAATGTCTGTATAGTAAGACAGAATACAGGTATAGATTCATGGTGATTACTTCTGATACGTACCACGTTGTCAGATTTTGACATTCATGACTTCGGTGTTTTCAAGTTTATAGTAGTAGCAGCATGAGTCTTTAGAATAAATATTTACATTCAAGGCAGCCAAGGGGGGGGGGGGGGGGGGGGGGTTCATTTTCCATCACAGTGTGGTGGAAGGATAAAATAAGAAGGCATCTTTGAGTGGGGATGTTTTGGACTGATCGTTTCAGAATGCAGTGCCTTCTGGTAATGCAGTGCCTTTCAGCTAACAGCTGAAAGTCCTGGCAGATCTTCTGTGATGATTTCCTCAGTCAAGTGATTTCCAGGCTGATGAAGTGTCTGGTGGTGCTGTGAGGCTCCTTTGTTCCAACCTGTCAGTATCCTAGGCTTCCGGGAAGGGCAGTCTCCAGCTGCTGGAACTGCAGTGAGTTTACATGTGACTGAACAAAGTAATGAAAAATGATAATATTGTACATGCAAGCTGACAGATCTCGCTGTAGTCTGCCAGTTAGTTGCGTTCTTAAATAGAGAAGTAGAGAAGCAAAGGGAGATCTTACTTCTAAGTAATACATTTACTCTTCCATGTTTTTTCCTTAAATAAAGAATAAATAGAAGTTGTGCTGTGTTTGTTCTTTGCCAGACAGCAAAGAATGCTGCAGTTGTTTCAGAGACAGAATTGTATTACTTTAAATAAATGTTGGTAGATTCTTATGATTTGCTTTTAATTAAACTTTGCATCTCAGCCATGATCTTTACTAATCAGACCACTTCTCTGTTCCAATTAGAGTTCCAGAATGTTTTAGTTACCTCACATTTGTCTATGCCTCACACTTTTCTCAGTGGTAGTAACAAATGCTTTGTGTGTTATTACTAGGATGTTCGTGCATGGCTGTTACTGATCAACCTCTGCTCTGGAAATAAGTGTTCATCAAACACTGGAAAATAAGTTCTTATAGCTTAATACAAGAAAGAAGTGACTGTTTTTTTTCTGTAATGTTAATCAGCTGTTTTTGAAGGTCCTTGGCGCTTTTTGAAGTTAATAAATGGTGATCTGTATTCTTTGTTTTAAATTTGGAATGTACTAGTATGTTAGTCTGTAAATGTATGTGGAAGCTTCTTACAGATATATTTGAAATTAACTACACGTGTGTGGGTGATGTAAAACAAAAATGATAATCAAATCCTTTAATTAGAATGCTAGGTAAGTTAAAATTTACTTTACAGAATCTTTGAATAATGAGAACAATCCTTTGTTAGAAATGGAATATGAGGGTGGTGGTGGTGTGGTGGGCAGCTTTAATTATTTTTTATTTATTACTCATAAAAACACCTGCCAGTTTTCATTTTTAAATACAATTTTGTTGTCCTTTCAAGATGGTCCAGCTGAAACATCAGTTGCAAATGGAGGCACTGCTGCTGCTGCCACAGCATTGAATGATGACTTGGATATCTTTGGCCCAATGATCTCTAATCCTTTACCAGCAGCTGCTGTACCTCCCTCTCAGGTAAGTGTTATTTACTTATATCTGTTTGTGTAAGTATGCGTGTGCATGCACATATTTCCCATCAAGAAACTGTTCATGTGGGGTTTTAGAGAGAAAAAATACATGCTTCTGTATGCTTGCAGCTTGAGACTCCAGCTGTAATGCCTATATTTTTCTCACCTCTTTGGCCTTCACTGGTACTTGGATGTAGGACTGGAAGGTACTCTGGTCTTCTTTTTTGATTCCTCCTGATTAGTTAGCTGAATTATTTTCTGTTCTCTCCTTGTTTGATGGTAGTCAGTTTCTTCTAGTTTATATTGTCGTTTTTTTCTTCTCTCTCTCTCTTTTTTTTTTTTTTTTTTTTTTTTTTTTTTTAAGTATTCTCAATATATTTTTTACTGAACTTTAAGTAATACTTGTTCTGGACTTCTTGCCCCTGCTAATAGCAGGGGGATTGGAACTAGATGATCTTAAACATCCCTTCCAACCCAAACCATTCTATGGTTTCTATGATTATTATTGCGTTGTAATACTAATAGGACATACAGCAGATGCTTCTTTCCCAGACTTACTGGAAATTTGAAATCTCAAGTGTCTTATTCAAAATCAAGAATGAATATCTAGGAAATCTAATACTGTTTCTGGGGCTGATCTGGCTTTTGTTTCATCTTGGAAACTTGTATGTCATACCTTCCTCAAAGAAGGGGTAACATAACCCTGCATGTGGCCCACTCCCTCTCATAGACTGATGACAGTTTGAAAGAGGCCCCATTGCCCGGTTTGCTGTAGCTAAGAAGGGCAGTTTTCAGCCTCAGAGAAATAATGTGTTGATGCTGAACTTGGCTGATACGGATGAGAACACACTTGCACTGACTTTCATCCTCAGAGCAGCTTTTGAGAGGAAGGCTTTGCCCCACCTGTGGAGCCCTTTTAAGATAGTTTTTGAGGCTTACACTTGCAGAAGGCTTTCTGTCTTGCCTAGTTGAAATAGGAAGGACCTTATGCATTCTTGAATTTATGGCTTGGGACCTATGATCTGTATTGATTTTTCCTTATCCAGCAGTTCTGATATAAAAAATGGAAGGGATGATAGAAAGTAATTCTAATTCAACTGGCATATCGTAATTTTGTTTCAAGTGTTCAATTTATCACCGCGGTCAACTCAAGGCATATTGCCATTGTAGCAAGATTTGACTGTGGTTTTTATTCTTTATCTTTTACTCTCCTCTTACCTACTGGCTGCTGAAGACCAACTTTGTGAAAAATGCTAGGTAGGGACTGAAATCACACCTCTTTTTAAACATAAAAGGTACACATAAGGCAAGCTTCCCTGCGTGCCTTCAGCCACTTGTAAATGATGAGGGAAATGAGTGGTTTCAGTGTGTTAGCTAAGATTGCAAAGGAAATTGTTGGTATGGATTTTCTTGGCTCTTGTGGATGTCTGTGTTCAAAGCGCCAGAAAGAACACTAAGTGCATGTTGTCCTACTATTCTACTGCCTTATGTCAAAATTGATCTAGATAAATCCACCTATAGAGCTAGATGTGAAAAGCAGTAAGCCATTTCCAGCTTCACTGAGCTGTTTAATGTATCCAATTTTGTTGTAGATTGGGTAAATTGAAATCTAGAATCATGAGGTTTCCACTCAACCCTGTAATAAACGAACCAGTGATAGTAACGCATATAGTGGAAAAGATTGACTTCTGGTTTTCACTTTTTCCTGCCTTTCTGATACTGAAAGTGGTTTTCTCTGAGTGTAGTTACTGTTGGTTCAGGACAACAGGCTTTGGGGGTGCAGTCCATGTTGCCTAATCAATCTTTTCAGAGAGCTTTCAGAATGTCAGCTTTCTCTTGATTTGATTCTGTGAGCAAGTGATGTGACCTGGCTAAACAAGTGATTTAGCTGTAGAGTACGGGGAATCAAAAAGGTGTTGTGGTTTAACCTGGCCAGCAGCTCAGCACCACCCAGCCAGTCATTTGTTGACATGATTGTCTGGGTGGTGATGATTGCTCATGGATTAAATAGTGGGATGGCTGCAGTGAACTGAATGGTACGTACCAGTAGTTGAAGGAAACCAATTGTCTAAAATACATTCCTGTGATAAAGATTAGCCCTGGAACTTCTGTGTGTGGGTGAAATGTTCTGAAATGTGTAGTTTATTACTGATTGTGCAGGTTTCGAGAACAGGTATAGCACTAAGTAAATACATTAGGAAGCATTAAAAAAATGGAAAATATTAATCTCAATATTTGGCATCGCCTTGTGTTCTCTAAAGCCTGAACATTACTTGCAGTTAACAAACCAGCCAAGATTTGTGCTGATAATTTGCTTTTTTCTCAGAGCCATAATCAGCAGTGGTGAACAGAACTTTTATCAAAGATACAGCATCATGCAAGATAGAATTCTTGGCTATGTTCCTTTTTTAATCAGTAATCTCAAAGAATATGTAATGTAAACAGATAATTTCCCCAGTTTAGACACAGGGAAATGGAGGTAGAAGGGGGTGATGATTAAATAGGTTGCTTTGCAAACTGGGACAGAGTTAATATTCCTTTTTCTTCTACATCCAAAAAGGTCTTGTAGGTCTGGATGGTGGTACCTGGTCTGGGCACCACTTCAGGAAGGTAGTTGATGGTGCCTCTCATTTGTCAGTGACACGAGTAGTTTGCAATATCTTTCGCTTATGATCCAGATACGAGTTGGATAGGATTCAGAAAAGAGTCAGGAAGATACTAGGGACTGGAAACCATGCTTGGTAAAGAGAGATTTTAGGATTCACTCTGTTTAACTTACTGAAGTAAAGAAGTTATATATGATTATGTTCCTTGATTATTTTCTATGAGAAAACAAGTGGGAAACTGGGGATAAACACAACAGGTTTGTGAACATCAAAAGAGAAGGGAATTTGATGCTGTTCCTCAAATGGATTGGCAAAAACAACACTTAATTGTTCATTGCTCACAGGATTGGTTTTCCTTTTCAGCTTAAGCCTTCAGAATAGGATTTAATGTTAGGTTAGGGTTTGTATTCTTGTGGCACGGTGGAGCACAGAGGTGTTCTATTTGAATGTTTTGTTATAAGAATGAAGGGAGGTGATGTCCGAAAACCTTAGGTATCATGACAGCTGATGTAGCCAATACATCATTTTAAATGAAAATAGAAGTATTTATTTTTCATTCTGACTTTTTTAGCTTTCCTTTCAAATGTCTTCATTACAGTCTTCAAAAATACTCCAAATATTTCTTCTTCCTATTCGGTATGGCAGGATACTAATAAAAATATTGCATTTGTAAAGGACTGGTAAAGAACAATGGGGTTGCATGCTTTTTCTAGAATTTTGCCTATTAGCAAATTTCAGAGGTTTAAAAGTAGCTTAACCAGCTCTTACTGTAAAGCTAGAGAAAGGGTATATGCTAGAAAATGACCAGTTATGCGGTGTTCATGAACAAGAAAAAGGAAAAAATGACATGTTTCTGTATTCAGTAAATGTACACTTTTAAAATTGAAGATAAACTGTATTTGTACAATGTTTTTTGTTACCACACATTGTATCGGAACCAAAGGTGTGCCGTTCTTAGCTGTAATAAACAAATGCCTTAATTATTTTGGGCAGATATTAGTTTCAGATTTTGTATGGGTGTATCCTCCAGCAAAAATGTGATCTTCATTCTTTGCTGAAACTTGGAGGGAAGGGGAGAAGGAGGGAATGGTGAGGTATGAAGTTTGAAAGCACCGATTCACCGAAGCACTGATGCTTTCCCCAGGCAGGATGTTAAAAGCCACTGAGATTACACTTCAGTGTTTTGTTGGGTTTTTTTTGTATGTGTGTTTTGCATTGTACTGGGAGCTGAGAGTTGGTTCAGGGGCTACAAAAATACACTTTGGTACAGATGCTTTATATTATCACATCTGTTTCTAGACAAACCTTCACTTAAAGCAGTAATATGTTTTAGATAGCTCTATGTTCTCAGATACTCATTTTTCCCAGAGGTGTATGTACCTATGTGACTGCTGCAGATCAGCAGATGAACTTCAGCTTTTCAACAAGCTGTGGTGATGAGAATGTTTCCTAGTCCTTAGTTTTTGTGCAAAAAAATGATTTGTTCAGAAGCTTGCTGTGCTGTGTTATCTATGTGGGGTCTTACTGGGGAGCTATTGAGCCCTATTTTTATGTGACCCATTGAGTTGTTTATAGCTTCTTCTTGTAGGGGGCGTGGATTGACTCTGTTCATGGTGACTGTAATTGGTTACTGCCAAGCTTATCAAATCTATTTCTTAATCATAGGAAGTGTTCTTGTTTCCTAATTATTTGTCTGCTTGGATTTGCTCAGTTTATCATCATTGAGACAGTCAGAGAGCATGGGAAGTCTGTGGATGAATGCCAGGATTTGGTGGCAGGCTGGGCATAGGGGTCACATTGAAGCTTCTTATTTAGGTAGTCACCGTACACTTCCACTCAGTATCCAGAGCAGCCATCCTCTGTATTCCCAACTACAAGCACAAATGGAAGCTGCTCAGGTTTGGGAGTTGGTCATTGGAACTCCCCAGTGCTGTACTGCTCCTGGACCTGCTTCACCACATTGTTCAGAATGTGAGTGAGAATGTCAGTGGTGAGATTATGGAACTTAGAAAGGGGTTCAGTGATTGGTAAATTATTAAACTATTTGTTTTTGTATCAGTGGCTGCTTGCTTACCTCTTGAAGATGCCAAAGAGAACTTCTGCATAGTTTAGAATTAAAGTTCATTGTGTTTTAACAGTGGTTAATGCTGGTCCTATGTTCTTTTTTATTCATATGTGTTCAAGTAATTCCAGCAATTCAAATATTGCTGGAATCATTGCACAAGATTTTAATTGTTTTGACATCTCCTAAGTGTTGAATTTCTCCTCTTTGGTGTTGGCCTTTTTTCAGTTTTGGAGCCTCTTTCACTTTTAAATTCTTGTAACTTCTGATATGAGTCTTGATTTTTCTCACACTGAGTGGCAAGAGTGTGCCACTCAGCTTTCTTTTCTTATATGTTAGATTCTTGATGAAAAATATTGCTTCAAGCTATATGGAGACATTCAGTTGAAACTACTCCCTGTGCTTCTTTGGTATTACATCTAAAGAATGCAGTACTTCGGAGAAGATAATGAAGTCTGCAGTATACTGTGATGTCTCTTCTTCCTGGGGAGCTTGCAGGACGATGGTTTCTGTAATATTGCAATCTGTGCATTTTAAGATGCATTGCACTGTCTTACTTGGCTGCAATATACAAACTAGGATCATCCACGCTCATCTATGTTTCCTAAAGATGTGGTCTAGATAAAGGGGCTTGACAGAGGGAGTGAAAAGTAGAAAGTTTGTTCTATAGGAACTGTTTCTGCATGCTAAAAATTTGTAAGCATTAGGAAGTTTCTCCAGACTGCCATAACTGGACCATAGTAACTAAAGATGTACGTTGTAAATTGCAGAAGCCAGAACAAGCTAAAGAATTGCTAAGGAGAGCTGAAATGTAAATATGGTTGATGTTGTTGCAGTACTGGGATCTGCATCACTCTGAGACTGGCGGAAGAGAAAGAATCTAAAACAGCTCTTGAAAAGCTGTTCTAATAGTATGCATGCTCACAGAGTTTAGAGTGGAGGTAACAGTGCTAAGAGGCTTACGGTCTGATGGATGAATTATGTAGATGAGGCAGAATAGCACATAATTTGTTTTGGTCTCCAGACAGGTCAGTTGTGTGCTCTGTTCTTAGTTGTTTTGTTTCTCCTAGCCCATTACTGGAAAATGTGAATTTATTAAGGTAAGGAGAAAATTCTGTCCTCTGCCTGGAAAGCTGGGGACAGACGGAGCTTATTTGTCCAACTGCTTTACACAAACAGTCTTTATGGAGAGCAAAGTTAACAAGGATGAAAGGAAAGTTTCAGGATGATCAAAAGGAGTAGCATTTAAAAGAATTTAAGGTGGATGTTGAAAGCTGGTGGAAGGATTCAGCTGAGAGTTAGCTAAAGAACTGAGACAAAAACAGCTGTGTACTTGCTAGACTACAGAAGTATTTGATTTGTTCAAAACCTTAGAAACCAAAGCAGCGAGAAAATTCAGTCCTCTTAAACATCTTCATATGATCTGGGTGATGGGGGCAGAGTGCACCCTCAGCAAGTTTGGAGATAACATAAAGCTGGGAGGAGTGGCTGGCACATCAGAAGGCTGCGCTGCCATTCAGAAGAACCTGGACAGGCTGGAGAGCTGTGCTGGCAGAATCCTTATGAGGTTCAACAGAGAGAAGTTCAGAGTCCTGCACCTGGGGAGCAGCAACCCCAGGCTACCAGGGCATGCTGGGTGCCACCATCTAGAAAGTGGTCTGGCAGAAAAGGCCCTGGGTGTCCTGGTGGGCACCAAGGTGAACTTGAGCCAGCAATGGGCCCGTGCTGCCAAGAAAACTAATGGTATTCTGGAATTCATTAGATAGAATATTGCCAGCAGGTCTAGGGAGGTAATCCTTCACCTCAGCTCAGCATTGGTAAGGCCACACTGTGAATATTGAGACCAGTTCAGGGCTCCCCAGTACAAGAGAGATGTGGACAGACAGACTAGAGAGAGTCCAGCAGCGGGGCCAGTATGTTGATTTAAGAGACTGTAGCATCTCTGCTATTAGGAGAGGCTGAGAGTCTGGAAAAGAGGAGGCTCAGGGAGATCTCATCTGTGCCCACAAATACCTGAAGGAAGGGTGCAAAGAGGACATAGCCAGGCTCTCACAGTGGTACCCAGTGCCAGGACATGAGGCAGTGGGCATAAACTAGAATGCTCTGATCACCAAGAGCACATATGTGCTGTGTGGGAGATGGAGCATTGGCACACACTGCCCAGAGACGTTGTGGAATCTCCTCCTCAGAGATTTCCAAAGGCCATCTGGACTGCTACAGCTGTCAGACCAACTTAAAATATTCAGGACACCATGAACATTATTTATTATTTTGTAATATTTAGGGAATTTAAAGCCAAAATCAAAATATTAATTTTTAGTCTCCTGCGTTAACCTAAACTTCTGCTGTCAGCCATGTGCAGTTGTTATGGCAGATGGTAAATGTGATGGATTCAACCACCATACTTATGGCTCTGGCACATATGGCTGATATTTTATGGTAGAAATTTCCTTTTCTTAGGTATTACGCTTTACAGGTAATAAATAAGCTGTCAGTGATTAAACCAATGTAGGTTTGAACGTGAAACATATTTGAGATAAGTGCTAGTAATAAGCAGTAAGTTCCACTACACGCTGCTGAGCTGTTTCATATTTCCTAACTACCTTATGAGCGTTGAGCTTTGGTGTAGTGATGGAGGGCATTGCACACAGCTTTTCTTAAGGGCATAATGTTGTTTGTATTCAAGACATACTTTCACGGTGTCTTGGATAGCATGAGAATAGGAGGCATGTGAAAATCATGTCCTTGTTTAAGTTGAATGCTGCCCTCTGTTTCCTTGCCATGCAGTTTGCGTTATCTGCCATTTTTTTAGCTGTTGAACACTTGAGGGAGTGCTTCTTCAGTGCCTTTGAATCTTCCTAAAATAAACTGAATTAACAGATATTAAATGGGCGTTTAATCTTGTGACATAAACATGGTAAATGTTTATCATCTGTCCCCTGGGCCTTCAGCTGTCCCTTCTTCTGTGTGCAAGTATGATGTGCTTTATTTCACTAATGCACGTAACAGCATTTCATGTATCCAGAGAAGAACAGTATGATGCTGTTCATTTAGAATAGAAACCAACCATACATGAAAACAGAACAAGGAAAAAAAAAAAAAAAAGAACAGGAAAAAAAAACCCCACAGACACATCTACTGTTCTCCCTTCTAGAAAAATCAAACCTCCTCCTTACTGCAGTATAAGCAGCAGAGAGGAGCTGCCTCTTAGCTCACTTCTGCTGTTTCAGTGTCTTTCTCTGAACACATCTGTTGTACAGTGGCTGATGCATTACTAGGAGAATGTATAACAGCTCAGTACTGGGACTTCTGGAAAAAACAAACACAACTACCAAGGGTGGGCTTTTACCTGAATACAAATGGAAATCCATCGCTAGTATTTTCAAAAAGATTCTGCCAGAATGACAGTTCTCTCAGTTTGAGCAGGCTTCCTACTAGTCACTGAAACCAATTGTTTTCAATTTGCAATCAGAATTTTGTCAGTAATAAGCAAGAGGCAGTAGCTTTATGAACATGTGAACCAGGCTGAGCAGCGAGGCTGTTGCTGTAAGCAGGAGCAGAGGTGTGCTAGAGCAGCTGTGCGTTACGGGGTGGCTTCTGGTCTGACTGCTGTAGGATGGCAGCAGAGGTGGATCTGGCTGTAGAGCCAGGCTCCTCATTGTGGTTTCATGCAAGTAGTTTTCTCCTCTGTTGTTAACCTAAACACCACCATGCCCCTAACCGTGACCCCAACCAGGTGGCACCGTTTCGGTAGGCCGTAACTCTCCCTGCGCCTCAGGTTAGTTTGGATTGGAAGCTCCCACAGGTAACAAGACTCATTTGTTTCAAGGAATATCACAGGAATACAATGTATTGCTTCTTTGCCTAAGCACTATGGAAGTATAGGTGTATCAGCAGCAGCCAAATGTTGGATGCAGTTTGGTTATAAAAAAAGTGTTGAACAATAGAGAGCCTGACAGCCTGAGTGTTCTGTAGTAGCTCAGTTCTGGCAATGCAGTAAGCTGGAGATCATCACGTTTTCTTAATAAAGCAAGTGTGCTTACAGAGCTCTGAGCCAATTACATTGTATTTTAGAAGTTGTCTACTTTATCAGTTGAAATTTTACTTCTACCTTTTCTCCAAAAATATTATCCCCTTAGCTGAAGTGTCTAAAACACCACATCTTTTGTGTTAGCTCCTCTCTCATTTATTCTGCTTATGAGAGGATTAATGAGATGTGAATTGTAATCTCCTTGTTGATTTCCTAATTATTTTCCATAATCTGGCTATAGCTCAGGATTTTTGCTGCTCACTGATAAAGATGTAGGAGCAGCAGGAAGGAACAATCTGTGTGTAGTCTCTGGAGTTGGTCAGGGCTTTAATTTGGTTCTGTAACCTCAGCCCAGTGTTCTGTTCTTTTCCTATTGTATGTACTGCTGTCTTAGGTGATACTGCATTTTGGTAGATCCTCGTTCACTTAAATTTATTTTCAGTAAATGAATGGGTTTTTGTGTGGTTCTGGGATGAGGAGTGCAGTAAATACTTAATGTAACAATGTTGCTGGTTTCCCTCAGCATTCTGTCCTGACCTTTATTTCCCAGAGCACTTCTGCCAAACCAGCAGCTGCCACCTTGTCTGCAGCAGCAGGAGATCTCGATCTGTTCACTGAGCAAACAACAAAATCAGAAGAGTCGGCAAAGAAACAGCTCTCCAAGGACTCCATCTTGTCACTGTATGGCACAGGAACCATGCAACAGCAGAGTGCACCAGGTAAATCATTTGGCACATGTTTATGATGAAATTCTATTTTATGCTTTGCCCAGCAATACCATCGTCTCCTACAAGTATAAGACAGAGGTGGGGGCACACTGCCATTGTATTCAAATGAACTGTGTTTTTACTATTACAAACATGGGAAGATTACTGAAATGTTAATACCAAAGCTATAGAACAAAACAGTGTGTGATTATTTAATCAAGTGTGCATGTGACTGACAGATCTGTGAATTCAGCTCCTGCTGCCCAACTCATTGCTTAGGGTCTGAGCCTCTGCAGCAGGCCACTGGGGTGAGTGCAGAGCTGTCAGGTTTGATTTCTGCAGTGTTTGTAGGAAAACAGACTTCTAGTACAGTGATTAAAGACCCACTTACCTCAGGGATTTGCCAAATTCTCTCTATGGTGGTGAATCCTTTTCCTGTGAGAGATTTTACAGGAACTAAACTAACAGCACTGACATACAGCTGGACAAAGTTATCCTTTAAAATTGTTTTGATGCACCTAATACTTTTGGGGGGGAGGGAGAAGATCACAAAGCCCTTTCCCTGAAGCCTTCCTTTCTCTGATCCAGGTATGTTCATGGGCTCCTCCACTATGCCATTCACCACACAGCCATCGACTCATTTTCAAGGTTTCCCAGCCATGGGAGTTCCTGTGCCTGCAGCCACCGGGATGATGGGAAGCATGATGGGACAATCGGTGCCAGTCATGGGGCAGAGCACAGGGGTGATGGTAGGAATGGGAATGCCCAATGGATTTACTGGTACGACACAAACTGGTGTGATAGGACTTCCTCAGAATGTCGTTGGACCTCAAGGTGGAATGGTGGGACAAATGGTTACTCCACAGAATAAGTACGGATTGCAACAAAATCAGCAAGCTCAATGGAACCTCACCCAGGTAAATGCTCGTTATTCCCAGATCAGGGTGTTTGAAAAAACATCTCCCTTTCAGATACAAACTGCCTAGCTGTAGGAGGAAAGCAGCAGTGGAGCCAAGTTACAGACTGCTGGACTATGAATTGCTCAGACACGCAAGGAAGAAAATCAATGAAGAAATAAATTAAAGATAACCAATATATAAGCACAGAATAAACTCTGCTGAGGGAGACCAAACTCAGTTTTCTGCTGCTGTAGCCAGTCTCATCCTGGCATCTGAATTAGGTAAAGAAACAGCTTCACTTTAGTTATGCCACGCCAAAGCATAAACACAGCAGTGTAACTAAGAGCAGAACTGAATGGCTCAAGGATGGCTATTAACAATTAATACTTTCATTTCCAAGCTTCGAGATAGATTTCAGTGGAACATGCAGTTTTCTGCACTGTGATGTGCTACTGTAGATAATTTGCTTAGAGTCATCTATTATTTATCTGTAGCATTTCCACGCTTTTATTTCTTAAACATGTTTAAAAGGTTCTCTAGAAGCATTAATGTATGCTTAGTACTATATTGATACATTATCCAAGGAAACATCCTAAAATCATGCAGTTGGGAGCTTATTTTTAAAAAAGTCAACTTGAGCAACGATTTTTTTTCAGATTTTTTCACTAGATGAACCACACAATAATTGCACACTGCTTACTCTACTGATTCATGAAGTGTACCTTAATGACTTAGCTATACTAATTAAGATTTGTGGTGTGAGCAGTTGTGTGGGTTTTTACATAGATAAAATAGCCTCTCTCTGAAAACACAGACTGTTATCCACTTTGAAAAGTAGTTTCTTAAAGGTGAGAATTTCAAAACGTCACATGAAAGATATCTAAGGACAGTAGTCCACAGATCTTTTTGAAGGTGCCTAACTTTAAAAAGGTCCCATAAATAAAAATCTTGCTTGTTATGTGTATTAAAAGCTGGCTCATAAGACAAAGTCTTAAACATTTCTGTACCACTTGCATATCAGATAATATTATCATTATGCTGATATCCCACAGTTGCTAGGGGAAGCATGCTTCAGTTCTAAGGTGGGAGAGCGTGTTTACTCCCCAGAACAGCTTGCTTTATGTACTCTGCTCCTTCAGAATTCTGCTCAAAAGAGATGAACAACTAGGTGAAGCATTTTTAATCTCCATGTCCAGGCCATGGCTGTCATTACTGCAACCTTTTCACATGTCTGAATGCACACGGTGTTGATTCTGGAATATTACTTTGCAGGTCATTTAACGACTTTTTCACCAGTTGTTTCACAGTTTCCTTTTGTACCCTGGTATTGTGCAATCCTGTTTACATGAATTCTCATTTTTAGCTAATCAGACTGGTTTTTGGCTTGTCTGCATTTGTGTTTTAGAAGATAACAGGCAGTTATTTTAAGATTTTTATGCTGAGCACTGAAATTTACAGCAAATTCATAATGTTTTCTGAGAGCAGAAGTATTTTAGCATCCTCCTTACAATGAATGTGAATTCTGAACTGTTTCCAAATTTTAATTAGTTATCTTTCTTAATTTCATGTGAACTGTTTGACTCATTTTAAAGAAGTCACAGTATCTTGAGTAGCTTCTTTAGCAAAATATGCCTCTATTTATAGAGAGTAGTCAAGTTTATAAGTCTGTGTCATTGGTTGCTGACTAAATGGACAATTAATATAAAACAAAACAACACAAAATAGTGGTGCAGTCAAGATATTGAGGGCTCCAAAGAAATACTGCTGAAACAAAAACCATCATCTGGAGTTGCAAATGTAGACAAGGCTTTGCTACTTGCTTGGATGTTTCTTCAGTAAAATTGCCAAAATTCTGTTGGTTAGCTCTGAAAGTTGAAAGAGAGCTCCTATCAGCAGAAGTACATTGGGCTCCCTTGTCTCAAGCTCTGTGTTCACTACTAGAATTTGCTAGTTGAATGCTGTACAGCCTTCTCATACACTGCCAGTCAGCTGCTGTATCACAGCGATCACCTGAACAGAAACTGGATCTAGAGGAGCTGGTGCCCTGAAAAATATTTAGATGCTTTCCTAGAGACAGTATTTTTATTTAATGAGAAATACTAGTTTTAGGACAGTATCTTTTAACTGATTTAGCAACTGATTTGCTGGTTTAGGAGGTAGTACTGCTTTCTGGCTAACTTGCCTCTCGGCTCCAGTCTCACTGGACTCTTGTATGCTTCACAGATGAATCAGCAGATGGCTGGAATGAACCTCAGCAGCTCCAGCAATGTGATGGGCTTTGGGCAGCCCCCCAGCACAGTGGCGGGATGGACTGGAAGCTCCTCGGGTCAGACTCTCAGCACACAACTGTGGAAATGAACGTTGCAATAGAGGTTTCACCCAGAAGAGCCACCTAACATTCCTTGTCCAAATGCATTTACTTCCGCTGTTCTCTCCATGGACATACTTTTTCTTTTTCCCAGGCTGTTCAGATTAAGAATATAACTGACTGACCGTGTTGTGGTCTGTATTGATTTAAATTTGATGTAGTGAAAAGCAGATCAAGAACACATTTATATATCACTGGCAACGTTTTCATACAATGCATATGATTTCATAGACCATGTATTTAAGAAGCTGCTTAACCATGTATTGTTTTTTTCCCCTCAAAATTCTAGATCAAATGGTTTGCATTTAAGGGACGTAGCTATCATGTTAGTAATATCCAAAAATATAAACCCCCGATCCCCCCCAAAAATTACCCAGTAATCCTGTAGAAGGTACTGTATGAACAAATATTTAATCATATATAAATAGAATGTAAATGTATCACAGCAATGTTTTCTAGTGTATCAAACAAATTTTGTTTCATCATGCATTTCACTGTGACGTTATTATGGTGTGCATAACAGGGAATATGATCATTGAAAGGAAGATAAACCTGGATGTTACTCTAGTCCTACAAATTAATAGTCTATTCTTTTAAAAATGAGCATTTGATCCATTTGAGTTTCCTGTGCTAAAGCACCCAAGCGGGCTCGCGAGGCATGTATGCAGTATTAATGCTGAGAACTGGTATGCATACAAGGTAACTTGGTGTGAACAGATCCATCTTTCCTTGCAGAAATATCCAGGTTTATGACAGTGATTGTGTTTACATTTTATGGTGCCTCATAATGATAAAATGTTATTTCCCTATATTAAAAAGATGAATCCGTAAGTGATTGTGGGTTTTTATTTCATTATTGCATAACTATTTGACAGCTATTTCTTTAAGTCTGATTTTTATGAAGGAAAGCATTTGGAGGATCTATTTATGCAAATATTTAGATCAACAGTTCATGATTTAAAATCAGTTTATAATTATACCACTAAGCTGGATAAATACAAAAACTGGATGATGATTTTGACAATATTCCATTGCAGTCATGTTTCGATTGATCGATTGATTGTTTTTACTATGTGGAAACAGCTTTACAGCAAAGGTAAGTGTCAGTTTATTAAGATGAGTTCAGAAGTGCATGCAAACAAGTTAGAACAAAGCACACCCATTTGATTTGCCTAATAGAATATCTGACAACTTTCTTTTGTTTCCACAGAAGTCCACCGGGTGACCAAAAATTCTCACACCTGTAGGCTGTTACAGGGGCTGAATTGGAGCACTTTCCAAACGCATCCGCTGTGCTGTGACTCGTCTCAGGATCATACCTCAATGTTGACTGTGTCCAGATGATATTTTGGCTCATTAGCTAGATTGACTTTTTCTGTTCGTGTGTGCCACACGAGAACCTATCAAATAACACTTTGTTAGTACGGTCATCTACAAAGACCATTGAGAGCCTTTTTAGAAAATAAATGGGTACCTTTGTGCAGTTGTTTGCTTTTGGCTCCAGTTCCTCCACTGTTGTTATCTGTTTCAGAAAATCAGATTCTTGCATTCCTGGCTGAGAACCGCGACGCTTGAATACGGCCTTTGGATGGGACAGAATCACCTGCAGGCTCACAGCAAATCCTTGAAGAAAGGAAGAATAAAACGGTTAAGAAAAAACACAGGTTTTTTGTAGGCAAGTTACACTTAACCTACAAAACACCACGCATCTTTTAAAAATGTTGTAAGATTGGTTATATGAGTAGACAGTGTTTGGTAGGATAGGACAGCCCGCATTCTTTTCTTTTGCCTGAAGATGCACTCAGATTTTCAACAGTTCATCAATTTCCTGTCATAAAGAGAATTTTCCTTTCTCCTTCTAATTAAGAAATAAAACTGAATTTTAACTAAAATAAGATGTATGGAATCCACACTGAAAAAGTATTTCTTGGTTTGAGGGTGAGAATCAGAAAAAAAGGATTAGAATGTTACTTACACAAAGCAACTGTTGACTTTAGAGATTTTTAACATTACTGATGGAGGACAATTCATACATGGTGTATGTTGGCTTTCTACACCCTGTGGCTACTGGGGACTTCTGAATCATTCATCTAAATGGCCACCTGCAGGACAGTCTATAGCTGATCCGGGTGTTGCGCAGCACTATCAAAGGATCTCATCAGTGCTTGTTTGTAATGCATTCTCCCTAATAACATACATTAGGTCCCTCAAAGGGAGCTAAATTGAGAAATCAGTGATTTGAACGAGCTCACCCTTTCTGAAGCAGCTTTTGTGAATCTTCAATTTGCCACTGCTTATAGAAATTTGAAGTTGTTACTCAGCAGGATTCAGTCACGTGTAAACTTCTTTAAGGATGACTCAAAAGTCAGCCTGATAAACTTGTGAAGGAAAATTACGTTTGCATAGCCTTGTGTCTAAGAGCAGGTCTACCAAATAAATGGTGTTTTGTCAGTTCACAGTGGTTCCAGCTGTCCCTTTGCAACAGTTTTGGCATCTGTTCCGGAAAACTGCAAGAGTACTTAATTCTGAAGCTAGTATTAAGATTTTTCTAATTAAAAACTAAAAGAAAGAGCGTAACTTCCTCTAATAGAGTGTTGGCTGCCCCACCTGTTAGAAGCAGTGCTGCACCCAGCAGTTCTCTGTTAGGCACTGGAATGGGCTGCCCAGGGAGGTGGTGGAGTCACCAATCCTGGAGGTGATCAAGGAACATTTGGACGTTGTGTTGAGAGACATGGTTTAGTGAGAACTGTTGGTGATTGATGGATGGTTGGACTGGGTGATCCTGTGGGCCTTTTCCAACCTTGGAGATTGTATGATTCTATTCTATGATGGTTCTGTTATTGGCTGGCCTTAGCAGGGGCCAGCAGGAAGAAGAATGATGGCAGATTTGGACTTGCCTTCCTCAGTGGGGTTCATCTTCAGCAGACTACAGGCCCTCAATGCTGTCTAGGTCTTTGTCACATGGCTGTGAGGGGCACCAATGTGGGTTCCAAAAATCCTCCCTTTTTCAGGCAGGGAATAAAGTCAAATTATTAAGCTGTTGTACATAAAGACATGCAGTACTGCATACTGACTGTCCTGAGGTTTGTTTCCCTAATCAGTGGTCATGCATTCTTTGTGTATCGTTAGGGTTTTCAATAAGTAGCAACTTGAAAAAAAAAAAGTTCAAGGAGACCTCTCCCTTTGGCTATCTGGTTTTTCAGCACTGCTTTACAACTGCTTCAGTTTCACATATTGACGTATTTATGTAGATAAACTTTCAAAGCACTTGAATGAAAACCATTTTCTAGGGCCAACTTCTAGTTCACTTTATCACAGGCAGAACATTATGGCATCAAAAAGAGGTGAGATGGTGCAGGGCTAACCATAGTAGCACTAGTTACTTCCCCTAGCAGATAATTATCCCATGGTAATAGGCCAGTGACAGTAGCTAATTTCACATAATTCCTTGGTGGAAGTAACTTCTCCAGTATAGCATAAGCAGACAGCGCTACACGCACTATTTCTACAAAGTCATGCTAAGCTTAATCACATGAAATACCACAGGACAAGTTTATAGCCACAGTGTAACACGCTGTTTTGCTGTTTCTGTTTGATGCAAAGCCGTAAATGAAATCTAATTGGCTGATGAGCCGCCCAGATAAGAATGAATTTGTTGGAGGATGAGGTATCTGGAAGACACAGCAAAGATTACATCTGTGTTGCTTTCTCTGGAACCTGTTAATTCACACCTTGTCTTGGATTAACAGCTTCTGTTAAATGATGGAAACATTTTTCTTCACCCAGTTAGACAGCCTTTCAAGATTTAGTTGCTGCGATTAATAGCTTTGCCTCCTGAATGCTCCAGATAGCATAGTAGCTGAAGGCAAGCCAGAAACTTCAGTTTTTATCATTTCCAGAGTGAACAAATGCTAAAGCTTAGTGCTGATGGTGACACAGATATGCTGGTTTCCATGCAGTTTAAGATACTGCCTTTGACTTGTTAACCATACATGACTTGAAGTCTGCTTCCTTCCTCTTCAGGTAACGCACCATTTGAGTTCAGTGCCGTAGAGGTGCTCAGCCACATGTTTTCATATGTCAGAACAGAGAACTCTGCTGACAATTAATTTACTATGAAAGAGACTCTCTATGTTAAACCCAGCAATCTCTGAAGAAGTTCTTACATCCTTTGATGTCAGGGTGGGGGCTTTGAGTTTATCATCTGCCACAGCCAATCAAGATTTCTTTGTACTTCCATTCTGCAGCTTTTTCAGACAAAATATGCCACGTTTTCCAGTGTATTAATAGACAGCTTCTTTTCTGAGAAGAATCATGAGAAAGATGAGATGTAACACAGATGGCATACTACTGCAAAATCCAAGGATCAGGTGGTTGCTTGGGCCCTAGCAGAGGGACTCAGAGAACTATGAATGACTCCAAAATGTGCTTGCCCAGTGATTCACAGGTACAGATTAATCTGTACACCTGAAGCAGCTCCTGGAATGCTAATAAAAAGCACACATCTCTTTTCCTTGAACAGTCCTGACATTATGAGATTCATGATCCAACTAGTTCTCATGGGTGGTAAAGAAAGTAACAATTCTTGCACAGGGAACAAGCCATAAATAAATCGATAAGCATCGCAGAAGATTTAAAATCAGGTCTATAATAAACACAGTGCACTCACTTCAATTGCCCAAGTGGCTGCTGATAACCTGAGAATTTTTGTTTCTATGTGTGACATTACATTGAGATTTTTCAAATTCTCCAAAAGCCTACAAGTGTTCTTGTTATGGGCTGCATTCCTTCAGATATCAGAGTGTAATGACAGATTAGAGCTCGTATCTGCATCAGGCTGTCTAGGTCCAGAATCTGTCTAAAGGAGTTCCTGTACGTTCTTGTAGACACTTCAAGTATTTGCAGAGCTTGAGGTTAAGACAAGCACAGCAGGCTGACTTCAGCTGGGAACTAGGAGCAAACTCACCCCCCCCCCACCATAAGGGCAGAGCAAATCTGAGACCAACTCACAAGACTGAAAGTGTGCACGACTATGGGGCCGGATGGCACGCATCCCAGCAACCTAAGGGAGCTGGCTGAGCTGGTTGTCAAGCTGCTCTCCATCTTATCTGAAAAGTCGTAGCTGTCAGGCAAAATCCCTGGGGACTGGGATTTTGGGAAACAACACTCCCATTTACAAGGTGTTTAAGGTCAGGCTGGATGCGGCCCTGAGCACTGCAGTCCAGTACTTGATCTAGCGGTAGGCAGCCCTAGCTGTGGCAGGGGGTTGGAGCTTGATGGTCCTAGAGGTCCCTTCCAACCCAAACCATTCATGATCCTAAGAACTTATCTGGCCATATACGGTATGTATAGTGTATTTTTAACCAAACAAACAACAAAAACAACTGTTGCTTAAAGTTACTCATCTTCCATCCGCTTACCTTCTCAGGTAGTTCTACATCAAGGCTACCAACTGTTGTTGGTTCCATTTCCTTTACTATGGCACTCCCATAAAAAGGGGATTGAGCTGGGGTCTGTCACATTAATTTTTAGTCAGCCTACTATAATTAAGAGCGCCTTGGCTAGAGTCACCAGGAAAAAAAAAGCTTCACTGCTATCCCAGTCAGATTCTGATCAGTCTATGACAGAAACACCAGTGACAAAAGGTATCTTGGGGTATGTTTTGCTTAGATCAAAGTGAGACCTGCCCGTAGCGACGATTCGTAGCCATACTTCTTACTTTCTGACATGGCAGTATAACAAACTTTTTTTTTTTAAAACTAGCTTTCCTCAGTTCACGTTTAACCCATATTTTAATAATACTTTTAAAGCCTTAGGACTGCACATCTGAA